TGGGGAATTCTGGGAGTTGAAGTCCACTCATCTTAAAGTGGCCAAGTTTGGACAACACTGCTTTAGACTGTCAAATCAGAAGTTTTCTCCTTTTTCTCTCTTTTTAATATGTGTACTAATAAACCCTTGATTTAACAAACTACAGTGGCGAATGGATATCTGTTATAGCAAAATATCCATTAAATTCAAATAAGGTTTAATGCATGCTTATTTTACATATTTTGCCCATTTTACGCATGTATACATTAGAAATGGGATTTTGTACAGACACATTATATGTAATTTATGCATGTATGAATGGCAAACAGGATTTTACACATGCACAGCGGCATATAGTATATGGACAGATTTTGTCCATTGCATCTGAGAATCACCAAATCAAGAGTTTACTGTAATTCATGATTTTGGTTGTTCTTTGTATATAATTATTAACAGGGAAACATTTTAACTTTGAAGAGAGCATTCTATGAGGATGTATGTGTGAAGCCAACACAAGTCAATAGTCTGTAGCTCTTGTTAACTACCAGTTTCTTTAGCTCCTCTTTCCCCATTGGGGTATGCTGTCAGGATCTGTGTTTTGCTGGTACTATGTTGCCATGAGAATCCACCTGTATCCATCTGTGGTCTCCCATAAATCCTGCGTCCCAGAATGTGGTGCTCCAAACATCCTTTGAATCAACAAGGTTGGCAGCACCATTGTCTTCTCAAAGCCACACCTAGGAAAATAGTGGTCCAAGCAAACAGACTAACAAATCCATACAAAACCTTTTCCAAGTCAAGGATCATTTCAATAGCCACATCAGCCTCTGTCTCAGTCTGTCCCTTCCTTGCTGTTTCACCACTTGCTGAAAATAGGAAGGTAGGGTTTGATTAGTGTTATCTGTCTTCTACAGTAAGGAGCACACAGAGAAAGAGTTAATTAGAATCCTGCTGGTTTGTTCCCAACACAGATCTGTCAGTTCAAAATGAACCTTTTTGGAGGTCTGGGAATTTTTGAAACAACAGAGAATGGAAGGGAATCATTCTTGAAGCAACTCTTTATCCATAACCATTCACTCTCCTGGCATGGCAGCTATGAACCAGCCTGCCCTGTTTCCTACTTTATCTCTTGGGGAGCCAGCAGTAAGCCACCAAAATTTCAGCACATAGTTACAAGTTCAAAAAGACTGGATTGGAGAGATGAAATAGATAGGTAGGTACTGGAAATAAGTTTTTTGCTCTCCAGAAAATGCATTGCAAGTTAAAAAAAAAAATGCAAAGAAAGAAAGAAAGAAAGAAAGAAAGAGAGAGAGAGAGAGAGAGAGAGAGAGAGAGAGAGCCAGTTTGGTCTAGTGGTGAGGGTGCTGGTCTAGAAGCCAGGAGAGTGGGAGTTCTAGTCCCACCTAAGCATGAAAGAACAGCTGGGTGACTTTGGGCCTGTCCCTCTCTCTCAGCCCAACCGACCTCACAGGGTTGTTGTTGTGGGGAAAATAGGAGGAGGAAGGAGGATTAGGTATGTTTGCTACCTTGAGTAATTTATAAAAATAATAAAGGCAGGATAAAAATCTAAAGAAGTAAAAAGAAAATAAAACTCAGGGAGTCATAGACAATGCAGTACTTTTTAAACCCTATCTGAT